GGAGCACTCTGTCGAGGTCCCCGCCCGCCCCTCCCCCGGGTGCAGGGTGTCCCGCAGGGTGCTGCTGGTTGCAAACTACATCCTTTGCAAACCACTTCCTTCGGAGTCGCCAGCAGGAGTGCGGGGTGCCGGTGCTGCTGCTCGAGGTGCCCTTCATCTCGATCAAGATCGCCCCAGAGGTTCGAGTACGGGAATCGGCTGCAGAACTGATTTACCCTAGAGTTGAATTTAAATTCTCGTCGAATCCACGAACAAGACGTATCACGTTCGTAGACCTACGATGCCTATACATATTCTTTATAGTAGACGAAAAACACATTTGGGGCACGTCAGTACCGCAATCGAGTTCCTACAGTCGGGGCACTGAAGAAGGAATCCTTTTCGTTGGGGAGGGGCTCCGCGTTCCTTAAGTGTTTCGCAGCTTGCCTCAGGTTTTCTTTCTGTTTTCGATCGGAAATCGAAGTTCAACTTATGGAAAAAAGGGACCTCGTTCCTTATTTTGGGTTCCTTAGGTCAAGGCCCCGACTGTACTCGAGAGGTGCCCAGGGCTGAGGATGCCGTCAGGGCGCTGGGGGCCATCCTGCAGTACCACGGCTTCGAGCAGGTCGTCTGCGTCGGGCACTCCTTCGGCACCGTGGTGCTGGGCTGGCTCTGGAGGCGCGCGCCCCGAGAGGGTGGCTGCCCTGGCCCTCCTCGCGATCCTATCGTCACGTCGGGCCTGTCCCTCTACAGGGGGAATGCTCAAGAATAGGCAAAGAATGGTCTGGGGACTATTTTTGTAGTATTGTAGGTTTTTTTTTGGGGGGGACATTTTTTGAATATCTTTTACTGTTCGTCCAAAATCCTCCTGTAGGGGGGCACGCCGGACTTGAAGGTACGCACCCGAGAGGGTGGCTGGCCTGGCCCTCCTCGATCCCATCGTGGTGCTGCTGTTTGTCCACACCGTGCTCTACAACTTCCTGTGCCCGCCGCCGCCCTCCGCTCCTCCCGAGGAGGGTCACGGCAGCTTCGCGCCGCCTCGACGCGGCGGCGACGCCGGCGCGGGGCCCACTTCGAGTCCCCCGAGTCGATTCGATTCGATCTCGATGGATTCCGATTCCGATTCGATTCGGCCTGGAGTTCGACTGGGGCTCCGAGGTCTCCCGGGAGGCATACCAGCATGCCCGCTGCCGCCGATTCGATGTTTCCCGATGCGGCTGCCGATTTCCGCCGATCCGAGTCGTGGCGATCGCCGATCCGACGTGTCGATTCGGCTCTGGGCCCTCTCCTGCGGGCGTGGGCGTGCAGGGTTGAGCGTCCTCGGGGGGCCTGCCTCGCCCCCCGGGGCCAGCAGACAGCCAGGGCTCGTTTCGATTCCTCCGATTCGATTCGATTCGATTTCGATGGCTTCCGATTCCGATTCGATTCGACTTGAGATTCCGATTTGGGCTCCGATTTCTTATTCGAGGCCTACTAGCCTGCCGATGTCTGCCGATTCGACTTTTCCCGACTCGGCTGCCGATTTCCGCCGATCCGATTCATTTCGATCGCCGATCCGACTTATCGATTCGATTCTGGGCTCTCCTGGACAGCAGCACGCGGCGCGGAAGCCACGCGGCCGGCAGGGTCGAGAGCCTCTCCTGAGAGGGCGGTGGAGGTCTCGGGCAGCCTCTGGAGGCCTCACAGAACTCTTCAACGTGAAGTCGGACGTGTGCCTCTACAGGAGGAATGTTCAAAGATAGTAGAAAATAGCCAGGGGACGACTTTTTTGGGTACTTTTGACCATTTGGGGGTATTTTTGGACTATTTTTTTGATTTTTCCTCCAAGCTCCGCCTGTAGGGGTACACGCCCGACCTAACACTAATTAGGCCAGGGGGCGCATCATAGCCACCTGTTCTGAGGTCAAGGACCGGCCCGGCCTGGATCGGCGTGAGCAGACATTTTGCGTTCTCCTATCCCTCTCCAGACCTCCGACGCGGAACACAAGTCGAGACAGAGCTGATTCGCAGTGGCGCGTGGGGGCCGTCAGTGGGCCCTGGTCGCAGGCCTAGAGGTTGTCACCAACACCAAGATCGGCGGTGTGCCTCCACTGAGGGAATCCGATCCCGATCTCGGTGATGGTGGTAATATTCTGGCTTCCGGGGTGGCCGAAATATTGCCACCAACACCGAAATCGAGGATCATCTTCCCCCTGTGGAGGCAACCCCCTGTGTTGGTGTTGGTGCCAATTTCTAGGCCTCCCACCTGGGGCCGTCGAAAGAGTGCCCTGTGCAGGGTCTGGCTCTGGGGGCAGGGCCCGAGAGCTCCAGGGGCCCCCCTATCGAACACGAGCACGACGTCGGAGGTCTGGGTCCGACCCCCTCCGCATCCCCCTCCGTCGCCTCTTGCGCGCGCCCTCTCGTGCGCGCACGCGGCAGCGCACGCGCGCGGGGGCGGGGGAGGGGTTGGGGCGGGGAGGAGGAGGAGGAGGAGGAGGAGGAGGCCGAGGAGGAGGAGGAGAAGGAGGAGGAGGAGGAGGAGGAGGAGGAGGAGGAGGAGGAGGAGGAGGAGGAGGAGGAGGAGGAGGATGAGGAGAAGGAGGAGGAGGAGGACGGGGAACGACGGAGGGGGAGGAGGACGACGACGACCACGACGACGGCGTTTCCGCGCTGCACGCCAGTCCGCTACCTCACTCTTGAGGGCTCATCTGTCTGGGCGGCCTCTTGTGGCCGGGTGCCTGGCCCTTCGGGCCTGCGAATTGCCAGAGTCCCGTTTGGTGTGAGGCTCGAGGAGAAGGAGTTTTGTTGGGGTCGGACCGGAAGGCAGGATATCCGTGATCAAACTCTGAAGCATATGTCAATCCCTATGCTTGGCATCGCCTTATCTCGATGCTGATATAGGGGGTCCCACCGGTGTTTGGGGGCGCATCCCTAAGATTGCCATCGCGTTTTGGCTTGTCAATCAAGTTGGAGGCTGGTTAGCGTTGGAATTACGCTCCTCATCCAGAGGAGCCGCGACACGCGTCGATGTTCTCGCCTCGGCCCTGTTTTTACTCAGAAGAGGTCGGCCCTCGTCAGGCCGAACGGATCCTGCCCAGCGCATTCGGATTCTCCCCAGCCGGAGAGAAGGGATGACAGGGCGAGGAAGGATGAGAAGGAGGAGGAGGATGAGGAAGTCGGATGAGGAGTAGGCGGAGCGAGAGGGAGGTCCCTCTTTACGTCATGGTAGAGAGGGACCTTTAATCAAGAGCAGGATGGTGATGATGATGATGCTGATGATGATGATGATGATGATGATGATGATGATGATGGTGGTGATGGTGATGGTGATGGTGATAATGAGGATGACGATGATGAATACGACGCCGACGAGGATGAAGTGGGTGATGGTGACGATGATGACGATGAAGCTGATGCTGATGATGCTTACGCTTATGATGATGCTTTTCATGATGCCGGTGACGACGATGATGATGATGATGATGATGATGATGATGATGATGATGATGATGATGATGATGATGATGATGATGATGATGATGATGATGATGATGATTATGATTGATGATGATGGTGATGCTGATGATGCTGATGATGGTGGTGTTGATGATGATTATGCGTCTGAAACTGCGGATGTTGCCGGTGATGATGATGATGCTGTTGATGCTGATGATGACGATGATGATGATGATGCTGATGCTGATGCTGATGGTGATGCTGCTGATGCTGATGTTGCCGGTGGTGATGCTGATGATGACGATGATGACGACGGAGACGATGATGAATATGATGATGCTCATGTCAATGATGAGGATGTTGACGACGACGGCGACGGCTACGACGGTGCTGATGATTCTTAGGCTTACGCCAAACCGCCGACCTAGGTTTTTTTGGGGGGCTTCCTGGGGGTCCCTGGGGCACGTTGCGGGCGTCTTGGAGCCGAAGGTTCGAAGTGTCCGTTCTGGTTCTCCGTCTGGCTGACTGGGAGTCTTTCTGTCCGTTTTGGAGCTCTCCTGGTGGTCCTTTTGCTGTCTTGGAGCCCTCCTGGTGTCAAAAGGCGAACCTGCTGAAAATATACATATTTCGCTCTTTGTGCTTGGGGTCTTTCGGGGAAGCCTCTTTGAGGCCTCAGGGGTCCAGCCCAGGGCCGCTCCCGTGGTCCATCCAGTGCAGTTCTTCATCTCCGATCGATCTCCGACGGTCCTGGGGTCTCGTAGGGCAATACCGGGACAACCATCCGGACAACCATCGGGACAACCATCGGGACAACCATCGGGAGAACCCCATGCACGACATGAACCGACACCGAAACCGATTTCTTGGTTGGGGGCACTTGCGGTCAGACCCCCCGAACCTTCGATCTGTTGCGTTCGTGCCATCCCGCCATCGTGCTTGGTCCGTGTGTCCGAGGCCACCCTGAGGGGTCATGGGGTCCCGTGGGATGTCTTTCGGGGCGTGTGGCAACGTGGCAACATGGCTGGGTGGCCTCTTCAGCACCTTGAGTCTGCTTGGGGGCTTCCTAGGTTGTTTTGGGACGGCTTTGAGAGGCTCTGAGGATGTCTAGGACGTTCTGAGAGCCCACGAGACGAACATGCGAAAAAAAACTATGATGTTCCGAAGGGAATGGGGGGCCCTCTGTCCCCTCATAGCGCGGTCGTCCCGGGCCCAGAGTAGAAGGCTGGCTGGATCCATCGCACACGCCGATGACACCTCAAGGGGTCGGCGGATTCCCTATCGTAGGCATGCGCTGTGGGTCTCCCGCGGGGGCGTGACCAGCGCGGCGTGGCGGAGGTTGGAGGAGATATGTCGATTCGAAGCCTCACGGGGATCGTGGCAAAGCACATCGGAACCTCGAATGCGGCTTCTGAGAAACGTAGTGAAGCACGAGGATCTTGACAAAGCATCTCGGAATCTCGAAGGGGCTGATCAGAAATGTAGTGAAGCCCTCGGAAACCTTTGTCGTGAGACCCTTTCGAAGCCGACTTGGGGACCTCACGGGGATCGTGGCAAAGCACATCGGAACCTCGAATGCGGCTTCTGAGGAGGCTTCTTGGGAGCCTACGGGCCGTCTTAGGGCAGTCTTGGAGGCATCTTGGAGGGAATTCCGTGCAGTGAAGGCCGAACCATCGTATATCGAAGCCGGTTTGGGGGCCTCTTGGGGCCTCTTGGGGCCTCTTGGAGGCCTCTGGGGAGGGGCCTTTTGGGGATGTCTGGACGTCTTGTTGGAGCCTCTTGTGGCTCGTGGGAACCTCTAGGGGCGGACGGATGGAATGTTCGTTTCGTGGTCCCCCTTTCGGGCCCCTCTTAGGGCCGTCTTGGGGCCCTTTTGGATCGTTTTGGGCGCCCCTTGTGCCGTGTTGGGGGCTTCTTCTTGGGAGCCTATGGGGCCGTCCTATGGCGGTCTTGGAGGCATTTTGGAAGGGCTTCCGCGCTGTGAAGGCGGAAACATCGTATGTGCATTTCTATGAGGGTATGTGAAGATTTTGGCCTCTTGGAGGCCTCCCGGGAGGCCTCTTGGAACGTCTCGGCGGCCTGTTGGGCCGTTTTCGGCCCATGTTAGGCGTTTTGGCACGATCTTTCGGCCCATGTTAGGCGTCTTGGAACGATTTTTCGGCGTCTCGGGGCCCTCTTGGATAGTCTTGGGGGCCTCTTGGGCGGCCCCAGAAGCTGTCGTGGACCTCCTAAAGGTGCCTGGGAAAGGCCAGACCCCCCTGTTGAGCTCGGGCAGGACGGCCCCCCCCTCCCCCAAATCGACCAGACCTGGCTCCGGGGGGAGGGGTTTGGGGAGGGGGAAGCATCTCAGGCGTCTTGGAAAGATCTTTCGGCGTCTCGGGGCCCTCTTGGACCGTCTTGGGGGCCTACGCGTCTTGGAACGATCTTTCGGCGTCTCGGGGCCCTCTTGGACTGTCTTGGGGGCCTCTTGGGCGGCCCCAGAAGCTGTCGTGGACCTCCAAAAGGAGCCCGGGAAGGGCCGGACCCCCCTTATGAGCTTGGGCCGGACGGCCCCCTCCTCTCCAACCGGACTGGGCTCCAGGGGGAGGGGTTTGGAGAGGGGGAAGTATCTCACACGCTGATTATCCCCAAGGGGTCGGCGGATTATGATGATGATGATGATGATGATGATGATGATGATGATGATGATGATGATGATGATGAGGATGAGGATGAGGATGAGGATGAGGATGAGGATGAGGATGAGGATGAGGATGAGGATGAGGATGAGGATGATGAGGATGATGAGGATGATGATGATGATGATGATGATGATGATGATGATGATGATGATGATGATGTTGGTGATGCTGATGATGCTGATGATGCTGACGGTGGTGCTGCTGTCGCAAATGATCATGGTGATGCTCAATGTGAGGACGATGAGGTCCGATGTCGATGATGCTGATGATGATGGTGATTGCTATGATGATGATGATGCTGATCATGATCATCATCATGATTATTATTTCGGTGATCACGACGATGACGATGATGCTGACGATGATGCTGATGATGATGATGATGATGATGATGATGATGGTGACGGTGATGGTTATTCTGCTGCTGCTGGAGACGATAGCGATGATGATGATTATTGTGGTGATGGTGGTGGTGCTGATGATGATTTTTGCTGATGCTGCGGGTGATGCGGACAATGATGACGATGATGATGCTGATGGCGATGCTGACGATGATGATGATGATGATGATGATGATGATGATGATGATGATGATGATGATGATGATGATGATGATGACTATTATGATGATGCTGCAGATGCTGCTGATGATGTTGTTGATGCTGACGATATAGCTGACGATGATGATGACGATGATGATGATGCTGATGATGCTGATGATGATGCTGCTTGTGGTGATGGTGGTGTTGATGATGATTTTTCGTCTTCAGCTGCGGATGAGTCAGATGATGCTGATGATGAGGATGAGGATGATGATGCTTTTGGTGATGCCACTGATGATGCTGATTCTGACTCTGACGACGACGACGTCGTGGACCACGATGTTCTTGACGATGATAATGCTGATGATGATGATGATGATGATGATGATGATGATGATGATGATGATGATGATGATGACGACAACGATGCTGATGACGATTCGGAGGTTGATGGTGATGATGATGCCAATGATGATGATGCTGATGAGGATGCGGATGATGATGCTGATGATGGTGATGATGTTGCCGATGGTGATGCTGATGATGGTGACGACGACGATAGTTATGATGCTGAACGTGATGATGATGTTGATGATAATGATGTTGATGTTGTTTTTTTATGATGCTGATGATGATGATGATGATGATGATGATGATGATGATGATGAGGATAATGATGATGATGAAGATGATGATGATGATGATGATGATGATGATGATGATGATGATGGTGATGATGATGATGATGAATCGGATGATGACGATGGTGCTGCTGATGCTGATGATGATGCTGTTGATGATGCTGCTGAAGATGATGCTGCTGATGATGATTATGATGCTGCTGATGATGAAGCAGATGATGATGATGATGATGATGATGATGATGATGATGATGATGATGATGATGATGATGATGATGAGGAGAAGGAGGAGGAGGGTGGAAGAGGAGGTGGAGGAGAAGGAGGGCGAGGGCGAGGGCCAGGATAAGAAGGATTATATGATGATGATGCTGCTGATACTGATGTTGTCATGATGATGATGATCCTGCTGCTGCTGCTGCTGATGACGATGATTATGATGATGCCGCTGCTGCTTACGATGATGATGACGATGATCATGACGATGATGGTGATTGTGATGATGATGCTGATGATGATGCTGCTGATGTTGATGGTGATGATGATGCGGATGAGTCAGATGATGATGCTGCTGATGATTATGATGGAGATGATCATGATGATCATGATGATGCTGATGATGATGACGATGATGAGGACGATGATGATGCTGATGCTGATGCTGATGATGATGATGATGATGATCATGACGATGATGGTGATTGTGATGATGATGCTGATGATGATGCTGCTGATGTTGATGGTGATGATGATGCTGATGCTGATGCTGATGCTGATGCTGATGCGGATGACGATTATGATGATTATGATGATTATGATGATGAGGATGATGAGGAGAAGGAGGAGGAGGAGGAGGAGGAGGAGGAGAAGAAGGAGAAGGATAATGAGAAGGAGAAGGAGAAGGAGGAGGGGGAGGAGGAGGAGGAGGAGGAGGAGGAGGAGGAGGAGGAGATTGGAAGAGGAGGCGGAGGAGAAGGATGGCGGGAGCGAGGGCCAGGAGAAGAAGGATCATGTGATGAGGAGAAGGAGGAGGAAGGCGGAGGAGGCGGAGCCAGGGAGGTACCAGAAGCCCGCGCTGTTGAACCCCCTGGACCGCATTTCGTCGGAATTCTTCCTGGCCCACGGCCTGCGGCGGAACTTCTGGTGGTACGAGTGCATCCTGTGGCCCGAGGACGCTCCTCCTTCCCTCAGCACTTCCGCCCCTCGGCAGGAGCTGGAGGACACGGGCCCTGGGACGTCTCTGGCTTGCGCTGGACTTGAGCTTGCGGTCTCCGGGGGCCCGCGGGAATCTGAGACCCCCGGAGGGCAGGGGAGGTTGGAGCATTTAGGGTAAGGGATGGAATAGGGGGGTGGTTGGTGATGGATGGATGAGGGAGGGATGGAGAGAACGAGGGCGCCGATGAGGCGGAGGATGATGAGGAGGATGAGGATGAGTTGGAGGAGGCGGAGGAGCAAGAGTAGGAAGAGGAGGAGGAGGAGGAGGAGGAGGAGGCCGTGGAGGGAGGGGAGGGGATGGGGGGAGGGGAGGAGGAGGAGGAGGAGGAGGAGGAGGAGGAGGAGGAGGAGGAGGAGGGGAGGAGGAGGAGAGGAGGAGGAGGAGGAGGAGGTAGGAGGAGGAGGAGAGGAGGAGGAGGGGAGGAGAGGAGGAGGAGGGAGAGGGGGCGGAGGAGACAACATCTCCTCCAAGGTCTTCCTGGCCCAACTGCCCCCCTCTGGCGGAGCTTGTGGTGGTGGCGCCAGTGCGTCGTGGCCCGATGGCCTTCCCTCCCGTCCGCTGTGGACCCTGGTTTCGTCCTTTGCTCGGCCTGTGCGCAGGGCGCTCCGTGCCTACGCTGGAAGAAGAGCAGTGGGGATGGATGGATGGATGGGGGGGAAGGCAGGATAAGGAACATGTACTGAGTGCAGGCGTGCAAGATGGGGGGAGAGGAGGACGATGATGAGCAGGACGACGAGGAGAAGGGGGGGGACTATACTGATGATGAGTGGCGATGACGGTGCTGATGATGATGACAATGCTTCTGCTGCTGCTGATGATGATGAGGAGGAGGAGGAGGATGGGGAGGATGAGGAGGAGGAGCAGGAGGAGGGAACGGAAGGGGTAGGAGGAAGAGGGTATAGGGATGGGGATGGCGGTGATGCGGATGAGGACGATAGTTCTTTTGCTGCTGATGACGACTACGATTAATGATGATTATGATGATGATGATGATGATGATGATGATGATGATGATGATGATGATGATGATGATGATTATGATGATGATGATGACGATGATGATGATGATGACGATGCTGATGACGATTATGATGATGCTGATGACGATGATGACGATGATCATGATGATGATCATGCTGCTGCTGCTGATGATGATGATGATGATGATGATGATGATGCTGATGACGCCGATGGTGACGATGATGATGGTCACGGTGATTGTGATGATGATTTCGATGGTGGTGGCGATGGTGCTTTTGATTTTCAGGATAATCACCACGATGATGAGATGGAGGTGTGTGTGTGTGTGTGTGTGCTTGTGTGTTTGCGAGAGGGGGAGGGAGAGGGAGATGGAGAGTGTGAGGTTGAGGGTAAGGGTGAGGGTGATGGGGTAGGAGGCGGACGATGGTGATGATTACGGAGGCAAAGGCGACGATGATGGTGATGCTGCTGATGATGCCTCTGGTCGTGATGCTGATTATGATCATGATGCTGCTACTGCTGATGATGTTGACGATGCTGCTGTATATGCGGACGATGTGGTGACTGAGGGAACCAATGAGGATGGACAGGGAGAAGGACAAGGACGATAGGGGGAAGAGTGAGGAGGGAGAGGAGGCAGAGGAGGGTGGCGGACAGATGGTTAGAGACGATCTCGATCGATTAGAAGGGGGAACAACCATGATGATGCTGCTGCTGATGATGATGCTGATAGTGCTGCTGATGATGATGATGCTGATGCTGACTCTGACTATGCTGATGATGATGGTGATGATGATGGTGGTGATGTTGATAATAGCTATGGTGATGATGATGTTGACTACGATGGCGATGATGATGGTGATGATGATGCTGATGATGTTGATGATGATTATGGTGGCGGTGGTGGTGGTTGTGGTAGTGGTGATGCTGCTGCTGATGATGAAGATGATGTTGATGATGATGCGGCTGCTGATGATGATGATGATGCTGATGATGCTGATGATGGTGCTGATGGATATGCGGATGCTGTTCATGCTGGTGATGATGCTGCTGATCATGATGGTGGTGGTGATGATGCGGATGCTGATGGTGCTGCTGAGCAAGATTATGCTGCAGATGGTGATGGGAATCAGGATGTGGATGCGGAATGGAGGCTGCTAGTGACCCTGATGGTGGTGGTGTCGATGATGGCCACAATGCCGCGAATGACCATGACGCCGCTGCTGATGATGATGCTACCTGTTTTGGTTCTCCGGGTTATGGTAATGGCGATGCTGACCAAGACTTTGACGATGATGAGACCGATGATGCCGAGGAGGAGGAGGATGCGGAGGAGGAGGAGGATGGGGAGGAGGAGGATGAGGAGGCTGGTGCGTTTTTAGTTGATGTCGTTGACGGGCATGGTGTGGATGTCGTCAGGATGACTCGTTGCGGTGTTGGTGGTGCTGGTGGTGGGTTGAAAACGACGGCGCTGCAGATGATGATGCTGATGCTGATGCTTATGCTGCTGATGATGATGCCGATGCTAATGATGATGCTGATGATGCTGTTGATGCTGATGCTGATGCTGATGAATATCATTATTCGTATTATTATTGGTACACGTATTATTATAATGCATGCTTCTGGTGATGATGATGATGATGATGATGATGATGATGATGATGATGATGATGATGATGGTGATGACTATGGCGAGGGTCATGCTGATGAGGAGGATGACACTCCCGATCAGAGGGTGAGGGGGATGACGATGATGATATGATGGCGATGATGATGATGATGATGATGATGATGATGATGATGATGATGATGATGATGATGATGTTTATGATGATGCTGACGATGATAGGTTGATGATGATGATGATGATTAGGATTCTGATGATGATGAGGATGATGATGATGATGATGATGATGATCATGATCATGGTCATGCTCATGTCGATAGTATTCATGGGGGTGATGCTGAATATGCCGATGATGCTGACGATGAGCACGATGGCAATGCCGATGCTGATGATGATGTTGATGTTGGTGATGGTGGCGATGATGCTGATTCTGGCTGATGATGATGCTGATGACGATGATGACGATGAGGATGATGATGATCATGATGATGAGAAGGAGGAGGAGGCGGAGGTGGAGTAGGAGAAGGATGATGATGCTGATGATGCTGATGATGATGCTGGGGGGAGGAAGAGGACGATGACGATGATGATGAGGAGGAGAAGAAGGTAGACGAATAGTAGTTATGATAACACGAGACAGAATGAGAATACAACGACTCATACGACTATTCAGAATCAAAGAAAAGACCAAGAAACGAACAACCTGACGAATTAAATATGACGAGGAATCTTAACAATTCGAATACGAGTAATTAGACGACGGGTCATAATAAGACGAGCCGTGAAACAAATACTAGTAAAGACAATTCTGTTTGAGCAACATACTCGTTATTATGATAAGGCATTTCGAATTACGAACAATAAGAAGCATAAACATAACAATAACAGCGATATTACACAGGAGTGGAGGAGGAGGTGGTGGTGGTGGTGGTGGAGGAGGCCCTTTCCCGCGCGCGCCAAGGACCTTCCCCCCTCCCTGCCTTTCCTGGCCATCCTCGCGGAGAAGGACGAGATTGCGCCTGCTCCGCTGGTGCACAGGCACCTAGCTGCCGCGGCTGGCTGGTGTGCCACGCGGGGCCCAGGACCGGGTGTTGACCATGGTGTCCTTGACGCATGGTAAGCTGCAAGGGGGGACTTTTACTGAGTATCCTGAGGTTTTTGAAGGATTTTGGCATGTTCTTCTTTTCGGCCTTCCGACGGCCCGAGACGCTCCAAGAGTTCCCAAAGATCGCCCAAAGATCGCCCAAGAGGCCTCCAAGATGGCCCCAGAACGGCCCAAGAGGCCCCCAAGACGGCCCCAGGAGGCCCCAAGAGGGCCCAGGAGGCCTTTTAAGACACCCAAGATTGTTGTTTTCGATTAGAAAGTCTCGGCAAGAAAAGCCCATCCTGGGGAACACCCTTGGAGTTTTGTTTATCACCTGTTTCCTGCAGGGCCCCTTCGTTCATACGAGAGTGGGATGAGAAGGGATGGCGGAAGAACTTGGAGGGTGAGGAGGGAGGGGGAGACGCCTAATCACGGTGATGCTGCTGCTGATGATGATAATGATGATGATGATGTTGATGACGATGGTGGTGGTGGTGGTGGCGGTGGTGGTGGTTGTGATGATGAGATTATTGAATCGCTTCGCTCATTCCGCCGGCCCATAGTGTAGCGTCGCTGGCACTTGCTTGCGTGCTCGGGGGGGCATTTGGGTGGCCTCCTGGGGCCGCTTGGGGGCCTCTTGGGGGCCTCCTGAGGGCCTGTTGGGGGCCTCTTGGGGCCTCTTAGGGGCCTCTTGGGGCCTCCTGGGGACTTCTGAGGGCCGAGGGCTCGAAATATTGTTTCGTGTTCCCCCCCCTGGGGTCCCTCTTGGGGCGTTCTTGGGGCCCTCTTGGGCCGTCTTGGAGGCCTCTTGGGCCGTCTTGGAGCCCTCTTGGGCCGTCTTGGGGCCCTCTTGGGGGCCTCTTGGGCCCTCTTGGGGCGGTCTTGGGGGCCTCTTGGGCCGTCTTGGGGTGTCGTGAAGCCGAAAAGGTGGAAACGCCAAAATCTCTCCAAAACCTAAGGAAAAGCAGTGAATTTTGCCTCTTGGGGCTCTCTCGGGAGTGCTCTTGGAGGCCTCTTGGGGCGTCTGGGGGCCATCGTGGGCGTCTTGGAGCGATCTTGTGGCATCTCGGACCCCTCATGTAGCATCTTGGGGACCTCTTGGAAGCCTCTTGGCCCTTCTTGGGGCTCTCGGGGACGTCTCGGAGCCGCGTTGGTGCGCTGCTGGAGCGCCCTGGTGACTCCTCCCGGGACTCTCGGGACCTTGCCGGGGTACTTTCCGCCCGGGGGCCCCCAGGGGCCGCCCCGCGCGCGCGAAGTAGAAATATTGTAAAGCAGTCACCGGAGATCTTAGCAAGCCTCTGGCCCGTTGGGCCGGCGAATATCATCATTCTTGAAATGTAATTATTGTTGATCCCACTCACCGGTGCACTTTATGTGCATTTTCAGCTGGAGTGCCCCTCTCGGGGCTTACCTTGCACCCTGTTTCTTGTCAGGGAACGTCTTCCTGCCCAAACTATTTTGTTGCCCCCCCTGCTACAACAACAACGGCTCCCGCCAGTTTCCCCTTAGTAATGTTGATGCTGATGAAGTTGCTGCTGTTCCTGATGATGACGGCGGTCATGACGACGATCTTTCTGATGCTTCGGGTGATGATGGTGATGATGATGATGATGAGGAGGATGCTGGTGATGATCATATTGGGGATGAGGGCGGTTATGAGGATGATGAGCCGATGCTGCTAATGATGGTGGTGGTCGTGATGATGATAATGAGGAGGAGGACTATATGGTCCAGGGTCTGGGCCCCCCCCCCCCCTCCACCCCCAATGGGTATGCCATCGGCCCCCCCCCCCTCCCCCCCCGTGGGTCCCTCCCCCGTCCTCCTCCCCCCCCTCCCCCCCCCTGTGGGTGCGGTGTGGGTGTGGCGTGTGGCTGTGATTGGCGTCATGTTGACAGCTCTGGTGCTCGACGTCGTCGCCGCCGCCGCTGGTGGTACCGTCGACGTCGTCGTCGTCGTCGTCGTCGTTGTCGTCGTCGTCGTCGTCGTCGTCGTCGTCGTCGTCGTCGTTGTCGGTGTCGTTGTGGTCGTGGTCGTGGTCGTGGTCGTGGTCGTGGTCGTGGTCGTGGTCGTGGTCGTCGTCGTCGTCGTCGTCGTCGTCGTCGTCGTCGTCCTCCCCCCATCCCTTCTGGGGGGGGAGGGGGGGACTTGTGAAACCCTGGGGCCCATCCCATCTGGGGGGGGACGGGGGGGGCTTGTGAACCCTGGACCCCGGGATCATACATCATGTTTTTGGGTTGTTGTGTTTTTGCATCCTCCTGGGAGGCCCTCTTGTCAGGGAGGGGGGGGCTCCTACCACCAAATTGTGTCCCGTCCCCAGCTCAACGGCCATTCTATGACCTCGGGCGCCCTCCTGGGCCCCCACCGTTCCCTGGGACGCCTTGGGCCAGGATCCTCTCCGTGATCACCCAGTAGCGTGGTGCTTGTTGGCTACAGTCGAGGCGCTGAAGAAGGAACCCTTTTTCGTTGGGGAGGGGCTCGGTGTTCCTTGATTGTTTCGCAGCTTGCCTCAGGTTTTCCTTATGTTTTCGATGGGAAATCGAAGTTTAACTTGTGGAAAAAAGGGGCCTCGTTCCTCATTTAGGGTTCCTTACGTCAACGCCCCGGCTGTATTCGGCTTGTGGCCGTCGCGAATCTCCAGCGTCCTGAATCGCGGAGGTGGGGCTCTTCCCTAACGTGACACCGAGCGGGCCTCTCGCGCGCGCGCATGCCGAAGTCCTTCGAGCGCTCCTGCGCGCGTGCCGTCACGAGAATCCCCAGCCAAAGTGGGACGAAGTGCACGCGCGCGCGCCGTCGCGCGCGCATGCCGAAATCTTTGGATTTTGTAAGGATTCCGTAAGGATTTTCGTAAGGATTTCGTAGCGATTTTTTGATTTCGTAAGGATTCGTAAGGATTTCGTAAGGATTTTATGCATCTTCGGCCTCCGGGGGGTCGTTGCCTGGGCCCCCGCGCTGTCGAGAGCGAGCCACGAGGAAGCGCCAGCCTGCCGTGGAGGCGTCGAGATCTCCCAGGGCCCAGGGCCCACGTACTCCAGATTTCGTAAAAAAAGGGAGGGGGGGGGTCTCATTTCGGGGGCGGGGTCTCTTCCAGGCTATCTTGGAGGGCCTGGGGGGTCTGTGGACGATGTTTTGGAGGGTTCCCCCACGGGGGAGGTCTGAAATGGCTTGTCTTGGAGGGTCCAGACCCCCTCCCTTTTATTACGAGATCTGGAGTAGGTTCATGCGGCGATGGCGCGCCGGCGACGCTGGCGAAGGCGTTCCAGGTTCTATCGTGCGCCGACTCCGCACGAGAGACAGACGCGGGAGCACCGAGGGACACGCTGCCGCCAGAGGACCCGACGAAATTCAGCCTGGAACGATCGGGGCCGCGATGGGTTCAAGGTCGAACGATCGACGCGGTGTCAACAAACCCGTGCGCGCGCCGCCGCCGTACGAACCTACCGCAGCATGCCGACTACAGAATGGATTGGCCCCCAAACTGAAATGTGCGTCGAGTCTACGGGAGAAACAGCGTAAGATGCTCGTAGATCAACGAGCATTCTACGTCTCTCTCTCCATGGACTCGATGCGGTGTCAAGAGATCGTTGCGCGCGACGACACCGGTCGGGGGCGACCGTGGGCCGGGCACGTGGGCTGCTCGGCACGCGGCTGTTGGTGGCGACCCCAGGCTCGCTGGCTCTTCGGTCGGTGGCCGCCTGGCGGCACCGCCGACCGGCCGCCGGCCACCAGGCAGGGCTCGCTTCGTCAAACAGTGGCGAAGCGTCCTGGCGTGCCTATAGGCCTACCAAACAATGTTCTAAGAACCTTTTGTGGCTTCCACGAACTGTTCTTAGAACATTTCCGGCTGGGGCTGTCTTGTTTTAACACATCGAGTTAATGTTCTAAGAGCGTTGTTTGAGTTTTTAGTTTTTTTTGGGGTTCGAATACATTTCGTGGTAGGACTATAGGAATGCCGGGACGGTCGGTCCCTGCTCAAATTAGATTCGACCTCGATGGCTTCCGATTCCAGTTCCATTCGAGTCGGGATTCCGATTTGGGCTCCGGTTTCCCGCTGGAGGCACACTAGCCTGCCGATGTCTGCCGATCCGACTTTTCCCGGCCCGCCGATCCGATTCGTTTCGATCGCCGATCCGACTTATCGATTCGACTCTGGGATCTCCTGGGAAGGAGCAGCTGCCTATTTCTGGTGGTCTCAGATCGGCGAGTACAAAGGGTACCCATCGTTCGTTGAAGGTATATATATATATATATATAATATATATATATATATATATTTTTTTTTTTTTTTTTTTTTTTTTTTTTTTTTTTTTGTTTTTTTTTTTTTTTTTTTTTTTTTTTTTTGAATTCTCGGATCCCTTTCTACTCTACGCGACTTCCTACTTCAAGAATCGATCTGCTTTTGCCGTGTGTTGTTATTTTTTGGGCGGGCCCGAACCCAATCTTCGGGAGAAGAGAACTATGCACATGCACCGATCCTGGCAAGGCCCATCCTTGATCCAGGATCGGTGCATATGCCTTCCTGGCCAAGGTAGGAGGGCGTACGCACCGATCCTGGGCTCAGGATGGGCCTGGCCAGAATCGGTGTATGTGCATAGTTATTTTTTCTCTAAATCTACTGTATCCGCCCTCCTACTTGATGCTTCTACGTACTTTTTCCGACCCGCGTGTATGGTTATCTCCGCCACCGAGAGATATCAATACTATGTGTGAGTCGCCCCCCCAGGGGCGACGCGCGCGGCGAGAATTTTATAGTATGAGCTCCGTGTCGGGCGCTTTCTGGGAAACGCTGTACTACAAGATGTTTGTATTCTGTGTTCGGGTCGGACGCACGCCTCCGATGAGGACACATCGTACTGGTATGTCCTTCCGTCCCACCGCTGGGGCTTTGTCGGGGGCAACGATGGGGGGGGATAGGCATAGGGGGGGATGCATCGACCCCCAATCGCCCACTAATCGCCGATCGGGGCCCGATAGCCCCAACCCGCCCAGGCAGGTGCGGACTCGCTATCGTGGGCCTGTCGCCGATCTATCGGCGATGTATCGCCGATTCCGGGTCGATGCATCCTCTCCTATGCCTCGGGTGTTGCTGGAAGGGCCCCTGGCCCACGGTGCCCCCC